TTTCCTTACCTACCTCCTCCTCCTCTCTCTCTCTCTCTCTCTCTCTCTCTCTCTCGCCCCTATATCTGGACCCCTTTGTTTGCCTCTTTCTCGCCTTCATTGTTAAATCGATCGACACCCGCACGTGCACCAAAGTCGAGAGCAGTGGCTGCCGGATGAATTGATTCTTATACACCGTGCGAAAACTTTTATGATCTGTATTCGTATCGAAACGGCGCCCGATTCGAGAGAAGCTTATCCTAATGTCTGACGTGACGGAGGAAAGTTTGGACGAGCGTGTATCGATTCGATTTTCATTCCAATCGAAGCGATTGGAAGGTAATTTGAAAGAAGGGAAGAATGTGATTTATTTTGTTTTTGGGGGATTAAGATAACGATTCGGTCGAATGAATAGTAATTGATTCGTGTTTATGATTCTTAAAAATTATTTAAAAATTCGTGTATTGTTATCGTAAAAGTATGTCGATAAAGCTAATGAAGAATTGAAGAATTGATTTTTTTACGTTTTTTGAAAGAAAATAAAAATATTTTACGCGAAAAGTCATTGTGTGATTTTAAAAAATTAAAAATATAATAACGTGACCTTTTTGAATTTGATTGAAAAATATTGAAGATAAATATATCAATATTAATAATATGATATTAAAGAGAGATACAAAAATTTATTATTTAACTTGATAATATTATATGATAATATTTGGTTTTCTTAATAATATTACCAATAGTTGTTCTTTGAATGAATTTTTTGATATTTTTCCTTCCGTTAAATAAGCGAATTAAATTATTATTTAAATTAATAATAATAATTTTGTTCAAATTGTTTCTATGATTCGAATGTTTAATAACTTTCTATATTTATTCGTCAGTAAACACTAATATTGAATGAATCAGCAAAAAAGTTATAGCTAGAGATTTCAGAATATTTGATCGCGTTTGTATCAGTTAAGTCAAAATCAAATTTGTTAAATATGCGCATATAATTTTAATCCTTAATGGACAAAAAATTAGCATTGAAATACGTCATTACTTCAATTTTATTTTGAATTTTATATTTTTAAATTAAACATATTGTCCACCTAATCGCAAATTTCTTAGTTTCATTTTTTAAAGTTAAGTATCTTTATCCTTTTTCTTTGCTTTTCTTTAACAAAAATCATATATATCTTTTTACAATACTGATTTCCTCTTCTCTCGAATAATACGTTCAATTATTAAATATAATCAGAATCAATCTAATCTCTCGAAACTTCAAAAATTAATTCTCGTTAATACATCCATTTCCAATAAACGTGGGACCGATAAAACCACAAAATTTGCAAAGAATAAAAATCCTGCGCGAACTCGCAGTCGACCGATCATTACAAGTTTCCAAACAATTATTCCCAATCTGGTTTCATTCCAGATATAAACTTGGTTTAATTGGCGGTCGCGTGATAGAGGCGATTGGCGCGATTCTGTCACGGAATCGGGGCCAAACGAAAGAAGAACGAGGGAAACAGGGGCGGTGTAGAACCGGTAAAGACGTTGTTAAAGTGTTGGAAAACGGTTCGTCTGTCGCTGTCCATGCGGAAAGTCACGTAGCGTGGATTTTACTCTCGTAGGTGGGAATAACTTTTTCCCGGGCGGACGTGCGATTTCGACGTCCCTTTCTGGGGAACGAGCCAAAGCGGACGCGGGCGAACTACTCCTGAGGAATGCTGTGAATTCGCCACGACTGTTCCTCGTTCGTTTTTGAAATAAAAAAAATAAAAAAAAAACTTGCTACTAGTCTCGCAGCGCCTTGCGTTTTTATACGCGTCTTTTATTTCCTCTCCAATAACAAAATTCTCGTTAAATAACGATTAGCTGAATTTCTTGTTGGCAAAAAATTTCTTTAATTGATTGATTTTCTGATTCGTGGAAAGAGGATTGATTGAAAAATAGACGACGTGAACTTTGAATATTCCAAGATCCATAAGAAATTGTGTAATAATATATTACTAAAGAAGAAGCAATTCGAAATCAATTTCTAACCTATGATAATTACAAATGCACCGATAAAAATTCCATAAAACAAATTTTGTATTATTCCTTAAAAAATAAGGATGTATAGTATCGGACAATGAACGAAAGAAACGAAAGAGATTAAACCGTTTCGATGTCCGTTTCACGCGAGGATGTTTGACAGATACACGTTCCTGTCTACATATCAAACAGCTCGCTTTCCATTCGCGCGATACCTGTATGCAGATCGAAGTTGGTGTCGGGTTAACAGGGGTAAACGTACATATGTATCGACTTCTTCCCCGGTTGATATTCATGTATTCATAGCCAGCAACATTACCGGATTTGTATTAGCGCCACAGGTGGCGATGTTGATCCAACATAGATCGGTGTGTAAAACTTAGAACAACCGGCCAATCCAATCGAGTGGCGAAATTGAACGTGGGAGAGGGAGATTCGTGCGCCACTGAAAAGAATTGGAGAACTCGCCGTTCGTAAATTACGTATTTATTGCGACGAGATCCGCCAGACACGATACCCCGGGGAATAATTTAATAAATTGTTTTCCCCCGCCATATCGTGATCCATCAAATTTCACCTAATTCCAACGCCGTGGCGCCATCTTCGTTGACCGATTCACCTCAACTTTTCATCCGCCACTCTAACGTTTCTCATCTGGATACGAATATTCAGGAGATATTTTCCAGCGAATTCTCGATTGAACGAATACGTTTTCATACG